GAAGGTGCTCTGAGAGCATATACTAGGAGATTTTGACTCGATGTAGGAGGATGTGAAAGGTGAGTAAGAATTAAGTGGGCAACAAGAGGGAAGAAAGAGTGTCCTGGGCAGAGAATAGCAGGGAGAATGGCAGGGAGAACAGAAGATGTGACAGAAGACGTTCCAGAGGATGCTAGAGAAATTGGTAGGAGGGTGATGATGTGGGGCCTCATAGATCAAAATTTGTCTTAATCCAAAAAAGGAAGGAAAGCTATTGAATCATTTCAAGTTGTAGAGTCCTGATCAGATTTTCATTTTGAAAAGATCACCCTGATTGCGATACAGGGAGAATAGATGGAACCAGGGCGAGACTGAATGTAGGATACTATTTCAGTTGTCCAGGTAAGAGAGAGAGGGGGGTGAAATGAATGGAAAATACATGGACTGAAAGTAAAAATGTGTCGTCTGTGTAAGACAGTTTTTGAAACCACATGTGCAGATGGGATCCTAAGGAAAAATCCTAAGGAAAAAATAAGAAGAAAAAACCTAGAACTGAGTCTGGAGTCAGGGAAACAGTTTTAGGATTATTGAACGTATGTTCATGCAGTATATTGGCCTGTAACTTTCATTTCTTGTAATAGTCTTGTCAGATGTTGGTATCAAAGTTATGATGGTTCCTAAAATGAATTGGAAAGTTGTTTCCTCTCTTATTCTCTGAAAGGGTTTCTGTAAGATGAGGCTTTTGATTTTTTGGACAGTAAGGTCATCTGTGTTGAGAGGTTTTCTTGTGGGTAAATTTTAAATAATGAATTTACATAGTTTTTTGAACATTAAGAATTTAAAATTTATTTTGTATCAGTATTGCTAAGTTTTATTTTTTAAGAAATCTGCCCACTTCATCTAAATTATCAAATATTCTGGCATATATAACATAATACTCTTTAATTATCATTTCAGGTCCGTGGGATCTGTAGTGATGTTCCTTTTCATTCTACTTATTGGTGATTTGTATTTTCTTTCTTTTTGTCTTGATCAATCTTGTTAGAGATTTTTCAGTTTTATTATTATCCCAAAAAAAGCAACTTTTGACTTTATTTTCTCTATTACATGTCTACATTTTATTGATTTCTGCTCTATCTTTATTATTTTCTTCTACTTCTTCAGAAACTGTGATTTTGTGGGTTTTTTTAGGTTTTTGAGATAGAAATTTAAGTCATTGATTTTCAACCATACTTCTTTTGTAATATGAACCTCTAAGTCTATACATTTCCCTATAATTTATAGTTTCTCCCCAAATTTTTGTTCCTTGAATCAAAGTGTTTCAGTGGTGCGTTCTTCTTTGAACATGATTTACTTAGAAGTATATTTGCAGGCTGGGCACAGTGACTCACACCTATAATCCCAGAACTCTCGGAGGCCAGGGTAGGAGGATCACTTGAGGCCAAGAGTTTGAGACCAGCTAAACAAGAGCAAGACCCGTCTTTACAAAAAATAGAAAAATTAGCTGAGCATGGTGCTATGTGCCTGTAATCCTAGCCACTCAGAAAGCTGAGGTAGGAGGATCACGTGAGCGCAGGAGTTTAAGGGTGTGGTAAGCTTTGATGATGCCATTGCACTCTGGTATGGGCCTCACAGCTAGATACCATATAAAAAATAAGAATTACATTTTAGTATTTCTATGTACAAAGGGATTTTCCTCATTATTAACTTTGTTATTGAGAGGTAGTATAACAGCACTTAAGATCACTGACAAGGGGGCAGCACCTGTGGCTCAAACAAGTGGGGCCCATATGCTGAAGGTGGCAGGTTCAAACCCAGCCCCAGCCAAAAAAACCAAAAGATCACTGACAAGGAGCCAAACTGTCTGGTTTTGTGTCTCGGCTGCATGATCTTGGACAACTATTAATTACTAATTAACTATAAAATGGGAATAGTAGTGCCTATATCATAGAGTTTTTGTAAGGATTAATATAATGAATATTTGTAAAGAAATTTGAACATCTGGCATACAGTTGTTTGATAAATAAATGACTTGAGGCTCGGCGCTATGGGTCAAGTGGCTAAGGCGCCAGCCACATACACCTGAGCTGGCGGGTTCGACTCCAGCCTGGGCCCGCCAAACAATAATGAGGGCTGTAACCAAAAAAATAGCCAGGCATTGTGGTGGGCGCCTGTAGTCCCAGCTACCTGGGAGGCGGAGGCGGGAGAATTGCTTGAGCCCAGGAGTTGGGGGTTGCCGTGAGCTGTGATGCCACAGCACTCTACCCAGGGGGACAGCTTGAGGCTCTGTCTCAAAAAATAAATAAATAAATAAATAACTTGAGCTTGTTTATGTGGAAGGAAGGGAGGATGGAAGGAAGGGAGGGAGGAAATGCTTTTAATTTGCATGTTTATCATTCCCAGTGAGACTGACTATCTCTTCATATTTTTTGTGGCCATTGACCTTTCTTTCTTTTGTGCAATATTCGTTCAAGGCTTTTAACCCCACTGTCTATTGGATTCTTTTTTCTTATTCATTGCTAAGATTTCTTTAAATGTTACAGATGTGTGTCCTTTGTCAGTTGTTATTTTGCAAATATCATCTTTTAATTATTACTTAAAGAAATGTTTTACTAGTCCCAAGTCATGAAAATGTCCTATTATAAATGGCTTATACTTTTGCTTCATAGTTAGGTCCTTAATCCACCTGGAATTGATTTTTTGCGGATGGTATGAGGTAGGATCCTGGGTGGTCTGAAAAACATGCTTTGTATGTTTTTGGTCTTTTGAGATTGTTTTTTAGATTTGCATTATAGCTAAGTGATCAATTTTACAAATGTTCTGTGTAGGCCCAAAATGAATATGTATTTTGTAGTTTGGTGTGCAGTACTGTACATAGGTCCCTACATCAAGAGTGTTACTTTTGGTGCTTAAATCTTCTACATCATTTCTGATTCTTTGCTGCTTTATCAATTAGTGAAAGGGACAGTAGTTAAAAATTTCCAGGATGATTGTGGATCCCTGTCTTCTTACAGTTTTGTTAGTATTAACGTTATGTAAGTCAAATACACATACGGATATGTTTATTTTGAATTTCTTTTGCATTTTTATTATAACTTTTGGTTTCAAAATCAGGGGATTATTGTATTGATTATTGTATTGATTATTATTGGATTATTATTTTAATAATTTTGCAAGTAGATGACAGTTGTATCTTATGCTAATAAAATTGATACTCTATGGAAGTCTTGCTGACATGAGGAAGTAAAGTGTCTCATTCTAACTGGGTTTTTTCTCTTCGCTTTTATCTTAAACTTCATAGATCCACCTAAGGAAGTGCTTCGTCCTTCTAGGAGGCTGCTGGGGACTGCAGTGTTGGCTCCTGCACCATGGTTTTCTTGCCTAGAGCTCCCTTTTGCTTTCAGCCTGGGCTTCTACTTCTGCCTGAATTCATGTTCCCATTCCCTCATCTATAACGAGTTCTTTAAGGTCCACTGCAAGCCCATATATTATGTGTTGCAGGAAGCCAGTGTGTACCAGACAGGGTCCCTACTGTCTTGTTCAGCAGGAGAGAAGCATGGCAGACACCAGTGAATTCATTGTGGGAAGGGCCTAAGTCAAGGGACAGAGAGAAAAGAAGCAACCTGCTATGTAGGGGATCACCCAGGGCTGGGGTAGGGGCAGAAGAAAACAGAGCTGAGGCCTCAATCAGTGCCTTGGGCACCAAGTAACCCAACTCAGGGAAACCTATGACACTGATCTTTGCCACACATTTGTAAAACACCTTTTTTTTTCTGAGACAGAGTCTCACTATGTCACCCTCAGTAGAGTACTGCGGCATCACAGCTCACAGCAACCTCCAGCTCTTGGGCTTAGGCAATTCTCTTGCCTCAGCCTCCTAAGTAGCTGGGACTGCAGGAGCCTACCACAACACCAGCTAGTTTTTCTATTTTTAATAGAGATGGGATCTCGCTCTTGAGCTTAGGTGATCTATCTGCCTGGGCCTCCCAGAGTGGTAGGATCATAGGCATGAGCTTCAGCACCCATCCTGTAAAACACCTATCTAAAAGAAAGATTTAAAGGGCTTATCGAGATAAACATGCCATAGCAGATGGTTACTATTATTTTTTTTAAGAGGTTAAGAGCACAAACTGGATTAGTATAATTATCATCACTTGGTCCCAGGGATGGTGCACAATGGGGCGAGTTGCTGCACTTGGGTCTTCAGGCAAGGAAGAAGCTACTATTCTGACTGGACTGGTGTCTGCCAGAGGGTGATTTTGCTGAGACTAAATTCCCATGGATCCTGGAGTATACATATGTCTATGTTTGTCTCCACACAGGGAAGCTGTTTGTGCTGGAGTCTCAGAATGGCTCTCAGGGTCTGGACCTGGAGGCCGCTCGGCTGTCCTGCAAGAGCAGGGGTGCTCACTTGGTTTCCGCTGATGAGCTGCGGAAGGTGGTCCAGGATTGTGCCTTCGCAGTGTGTACCACAGGCTGGCTGGCAGACGGCACCCTTGGGTAAGTCAGGAGCTGGGTGAAGCTCTTCTCTCCAACCTACCCTGACTGCCCCACCAAGGCTGATGTGGGGCTCAAAACGCGTTCTGCTGAAACACCAGGATAGGCGAAGTATAGTGGGCAGTGGCTCCCAGGGCCTTCTTGTTTTGAGTTCTCATATAAAATCATTTTTTGGAGTTCTGTCACGATCTTTTTTCCTCCTTACTTTGTTATTTTTAATTTACTCTTTAAGTTATAAAAATAATATATACTCATTATAAATATTTAAGTTAATACAGACACATAAAACACAAAGTAAGTTTGTCTTCTTCTCTACTTAGAGATAACGACCATTAACTGTTTGGTGTACATTCTTTATTTCCTTTATTTTTTCTGTGAATAATCATCTGCATATATATATGTAGGAACCTGGTATAGAGATTTTAAAATATGGCCACAAATTCTTTCATGCTGCTCCAGTCAAGAGGTATGCTATGTGTCTCCTTCCTTTGAATCAGGGACAGTGTGACGTTGCCTTTACTGATAGGACATAGCAGGAGTGAGACTATGTGACTGCTGAGGTTGGGTTGGAAAAATCCATGTAGCTTCCATGTGGGATTCTGGGGCCAACCACTTAATAGCCTTGTGATGCCACGTGAAGTCTGACTATGCTGAGGTGGCCATGCTGTAAGGAAGGCCAGGCCACATGAAGATGGTTCATATAGGGCTCTTACCAACAGCCCCAACCAGAGTCCTAGCCAAGCCAGTTTAATAGCCAAAAACGGGAGTGAAGACGCCTTCAGATGCCCCAGCTATTGTCACCAGATTGTGAGTCTTGCTTCTTCAGGCCCTAGACATTATGCAGTAGAGGCAAGCCATTCCACTGTTCCTGTCTATGTTTCTGACCAATTAGAGAAGTAATTCTAGAACTAGGAGAGAACTTTCCAACAATGCTGGTACTTCCTGCTTTGGTTATACTCAGGGAAGGCAGGAGCCATTCCACTGTCTCCTTCATGCCACAGGAATGTGAAAGAATAAAACAAGCTCCAAGAACTACGTTGGTAGATAATGACCCTGAAGCTGGCTGGCTAGCAGATGGCCATGGAAGACAGCCACAGCCATGCTGACTCTTGTCTTCAGATGTGCCAAGTGTGAAGACAGCAACTGAATAAAGGGTACAAATGAGGTTAATACAGAGTCTTTCAGAAAATCTGGAATTATGGTCCTGTCTGCCTAATATTTGATATCCATGCTCTTAAATAGACAAAATATGCCCTGGGCATGCACAGTTTCATAATGTAATAAAGTAGTAATATTTTTCATAACTCTGTTAATGTAATTTCATTAGATAACCAGAATATTCAGAGATTCTGAAGAGTTGCCTAGAATTAGACTTGGGCCTCCCAGTCATTATAAGTCAGAACTGAGTCATTGGCAAGATCCATCTTCTGTGGGTTTGCTGTAAGGTGTTAAGACATGTTAGTGGTCTCTGCATGCTGAAATATTTCTTTATAAAGAAAACATACTTGCTAAACTTACTAGACAACATACTAAAAATAGGCTTTCTATCCTTCCATTTTAATGTCTCTGGAATCAGAAAGTATCTGACCATTAGTATATACATTTCACTGCATATCTTTCCTACATGGCTTCCGTCACTCCTCATATACACACTAAAAAGCAATTATTAAATGCCTGGTATGTTTTGTAATCGATGGCATAGTATGACCTATAGCAGATCTACTCTGTATCTCTATGAACTTATGTTAAACACACACATAAATTCAGATAAGGCTGAAGGTCTAGAGGGATAAATTCAGAATTTGGGGTCACTTGTCTCCTGGGAACTTTAGCAAATTCCATAAAGGGTGGCTGGAAAGCTGAGTAATAAATTTGATAGCCTCATGGGACTAGGAGGATAGAGAGTTGAATTCAACTTATGTGTAGGAGTGGGCCTGGTGAGTCCTTTTGCTTTGGGTTGGGTCCTTGCAGAGCTGTATCCCAGAAGTAAGAGTAAACAGCACATAGTACATGCACAGTAACTGGATGCAGGTCCTCCTCAGGAGCAGCAGAATACCTTCTAATCCTCTATAGCCATGAATTTGGCTTTTTCTCCTCTTTTTAGGAAATAATACTATTCGAGGCCTCAGTTTATTTCAGAAAAAATTTTAGCCAATGCAGGATATAAAATAACTAGTCACATGAGGAGAAAAGGCAAGAAGAATAAATTCAAGAGAAACAATAGCTAATAGAAACTCCAGGTATTAGCAAAGATATAAAAGACAAAAGAAATAATTTTATAGAGAATGGAAAACTATAAAAATAATCAACTTGAAAATATAGATATGAAAAATACAGTAATTGAAATCAAGTACTTAATAGATGGATCTAATAGTCAATTAAAAAGAGCCAGAGAGAGCTAGGCACATTGTCATATGTCTGTAGTCCCAGCTACTCAAGGGGATGAGGCAGGAAGATTGCTTGAGCTCAGGAGTTCAAGTCCACCTTGGACATCATAGTACTATCCTATCTCACTCTTAAAAAAAAAAAAAAAAAAAAAAAAAAAACAGCCAAAGAGAGAATTAGTGAGCTGGAAGATATTGCAGAGACTGCAGAGACTGATACCCAGAATAAATAACAGAGTGATGAAAATATAGAAGAAAGGGTAAAAGGCAAAGAACATCACATGTAATGGAATTCTAAAGGGAGAAGAGAAAGAAAATGCAGTAAAAGCAACATGAACTGATTCACAACTGAAGAAAAAGATCAAAGCACAGATTCTAGAAGTCCTGAGCAGCCCGAGTGGAACAAATGCAAAGAAATACACAACTGGGCACTTTATGGTAAGACCAATGTGAATCAAATATGAAGAAAAATATTAAAAGAAATAAGACAAAGAGAAATTACCTTCAAAGGAGAAACAATAAACTGACAATGAAAGCCCAAAGACAATTAATTGGTTATCTTCGTAATGCCAAAATAAAATTACTGCCAACCTAGAATTTTATACCCAGTGAAAAATAACTTCACATTCCTAATAGTGAAATAAAGACATTTTCAGAAAGATAAAAGGTAAGGAAATTTATTACATCCAATCTGCATGTACTAAAAGAAACACTGAAGGGTACTCTTTAGGCAAAAGAAAAATAATTGCAGGTGGAAGGCTGACCATGCAAACAAGAATGAATGGAAAGAGTAAATATATGGGCAGGTTGAAATTATATAATTATATAAAGCAATAGTAATGCTGAACTCTAAAAATGGTTTATATAAGTGGGAGGTATTTTAAGGATGTTACTTCATAATATTTTAGGTATTTAAGTTGTGTTGTTAAAGAAAAAAAGTAAGATTTAATAAATCAAAGAAAGCCATGTTATAACCTCTGGGTACTACTGAAAGAACAGTGAAAGGATGTTTAACTTCCAAAGTAATTCAGAGGAAAAGAGAATGCAAATAAAATCAAACAGTCCAAAACAGGGAAAAGGAAGAAGAGGAAGAAAGAAGGAGACAATGGGTAGAGCTAATAAAATGTGCTTGTAAGATGGTAGATTTAAATTCAAAGAGATTGGTGGTTACATTAAGTGAGTAGGTAAGATACTCTAATTAGAAAACAAATGATGTAAGATGGTTTTAAAAAAACCAAACGATTTGCCATTTACAGAAGATATCCCCAGATAAATCACAGGACAAAAATATATATAATGGAAATTAGCACACATATCTAAATTTGTGGGGTGCTGCCAAAGCTGTACTTAGAGGGAAACCCAAATCATTGAATGTTTGTAGGAAAGGAAAAAAGCTGAAGGTTCATGAACTAATGATCGATGTTAAGAAATTTGAAAAAGAATAGCAAAACAAGAGAAAGAGAAAAGAGCAGAATTTCATGAAGTGAAAAACAAACATATACTAGAAGAGATCAACAATGTACTGGCTCTGACACTTGAATCAGTACTTAGGACTCCAATCCAAATGTCACCTATATTGCTGAATTTAGATCTTTGGGGAGAATGTTTCCATATTAATGCTTTCAGCCAAAGCTCATGAATCAAAAGAATCTCTCCTGATTTTGAGCTGACAGCAGAAAACAATTGTTCTTCTTCTTATTTCCAACCCAGAGAAGTTCTCTAACTCAGTGTTGTCTTTGTCTATTTCAGGACAACTGTGTGTAGCAAAGGGAGTGGTGAACAGCAAATCCTAAGAGCTGTCGATGTGCGAGTTGAAAGCAACCCAGTTCCTGGTGGCATGTATAATGCCCTTTGTATTAAGGATGAAGGTCAGTGCCAGAGTCTTTGTAAAGGTCCTGGAGGGTGTGCTCTTGGGGGTTGCTATCTTAGGTTGGGTTTTCTAGAAGACCTTGAGATGAAGATTCCCTGAATATGGTTCATAAAGAAGTCTTCCAAACAAAAGCAAATAGGGCAGTGGGGAAGTAGACAGGGAAGGGAAGGGATAAGAAGTGGTGCAGTATTAAGCAAAGCCCACAGTGGTGGTGGTGGTGTGTATGTGGGGTAGGGGGGAGGGTAAGTTTGGCTCAATCCCTTAGGGACTCTCTGGAGACTGTACATAACCACAATTTTCCTGATTAGGTGTGAGGGAGCTGGGGTGTTTATACAACTGCACCTACCAGTAATTGGTGAAAGGTTGCTTCAGAAGATGAAATTCTCAGACTCTTCTGGGTTTTTTTGTATGCACAAGCTAAAGATTCCCTGAGTGCCACCTCCAACACACAGGCATAGGTGACCACCAGGAACGCATGTACACGAGAATGGTAAAGGTATTTAGGGAATAAGGGCAGAGGCCTGGCAACAACTAATACAGTTGCTGTTGCTCACATTTTGCTTTTGCATCTCTCTTCACAGCGTACAGTACACTTAAAAGAAAAAAAAAAATCCTTTTTCCCAAAAAGGAAATTTATAGGATTTAGAGAACTGCTCATAGGAATGAAAATTCAGCTTCCTTTTGGGAAATCAGCAGAGTGGTGAGGAGAAAAACATAAGGAAGTCTCTAGGGCAAGCTGTTCACATGCATCAAAATAAGTACACCTTCATCAGCACACATGCCATTGAAGGGAAATAGTCATGTGAATGGGGAAAAAGCCAGCTTCTTACTCTTCAGTCACAGCAGTGAGCACAGGTTCTGCTTGGTTGCACACTAGCCTCAGCTGGGAGGTATTAAAAAATACTGATGTCTGGGTGCCAGCCCTAGAGATTCTGATTTGTTTTGTTTTGTTTTGTTTTTTTGAGACGGAGCCTCAAGCTATCCTCCTGGGTAGAGTGCCATGGCATCACGCTCACAGCAACCTCCAACTCCTGAGGTCAAGTGAGTCTCCTGCCTCAGCCTCCCAAGTAGCTGGGACTACATGCGCCCGCCACAACGCCTGGCCATTTTTTTTTTGGTTGCAGCCATCATTGTTGTTTGGCGGGCCCGGGCTGGGGATCCGAAGAGATTCTGATTTAAATGTTCTAGGCACTGGGATTTATTAAAGCTCCCCAATGATTTTTAACGTGCAGTCCAGGCTGAGAGCTACTTGTATAATGCAGGGTTTCCCAAACTTCTCTTGTGATGTGAAATACCAGATGAGCTTGTTAAAAATACAAATCCTCAGGCTGCATCCTAGAGGCATCGAATCCTAATCTCCAGGGAAGGAGTCAGAGGAGGTGGTAAAAGTAAGAGCCATAGTGAACCCTAAGGCCCTGGCAGACACTGGTTAGATGTTTACTAGTGATAGGATTCTCTTCTGCTGTGGTGACTCGCCTGGAAGAGTTCTTCATATGCTGGTTTCTATGAAAGAGTGCTGGGAGAGTCTCCTGACCTCATCTGTCCAATCAAATAACTGAGTCATATAGCCTTGTTTTGGGAAAGGCCATGGAGAGCAGTATCTGTAAGGTTTTGTTTTGTTTTGTTTGAGGCTTGTCCTAGGTGGGATACAGTGGCATCATCACAGGTTACAGCAACCTCAAACTTCTGGGCTCAGGCTATCTTCCTTCCTAACTCACCTGAATAGGTGGGACTACTGGTACGTGCTATGTACCACCTGGCTACTTTTTCCATTTCTTAGTAGAGATGGGGTATCACTCTTGCTCAGGCTGGTCTAGAATTCCTGAGCTCAAGCAATCATCCCACCATGGCCTTCCAGATTGCTAGGATCACTGGCATGAGCCATGGCAACCCACCTGCTTTTTTTTTCTTTAAAGACCTCATAAGTAAGCTCAGCCGCTGGGGCGCCAGCCATATCATCAGAGGTGGTGGGTTTGAATCCAGCCCAAGCCTGCCAAAAAACAATGACAACTATAACCAAAAACTAGCCAGGCATTGTGGCGGGCGCCTACATGTAGTCCCAGGTACTTGAGAGGATGAGGCAAGAGAATCGCTTAAGCCCAAGAGTTTGAGGTTGCTGTGAGCTGTGATGCTACCGTACTCTACCCAGGGTAACAGAGTGAGACTCTGTCTCAAAAAAAAAAAAAAAGAAGAAGAAGAAGAAGAAGAAAATAAGATGATTTCTATCTCTAAAATAAAAGAACTCTTGAGGCGAAGAGTTTGAGACTAGTTGTCTGGGCTGGTCTCAAACTCCTGGCTTCAAGCAATCCTCTTACCTCAGCTTCCCAAAGTGCTAGGACTACAGATGTGAGCCACTGGCTGGCCTAAACTTCCTGATTTTCATAACTATACTGAAGTTATACAAGAGAATATCCTGTTCTTAGAAAATGTACAACAAGGTTTTTAGGGGCAAAAGGGCATCATATCAATAACTTACTCTTAAATGGTTCTGAAAAGAATTATAGATACTATGTATGGATACACATACATACATACATACATATGTTTACACACATACACATGTATGTTTGTGTATGTATGTAGACAGAGAAGAGAATGATAAAGCAAACAGAAAAATGAAAACTTTGTTGAACCTGGATAAAAGGGAAGTTCCTATTCTTACAATTTTTCTATAACTTTGAAATTATGTAAAAATTAAAAATTACTAAAAAAATAGTCTACATGCTGCTCCAAAAATATCAAAAACATTAACAGCAGACAAAAATAAACTCAAGAAAACAAAAAAGCCTCTGAGTCATGGGGAGCCAACATGTGAAACAGAACTGGAGGGTGCTGAGACCAGGCATAGTAAGGACAGGCTACCAGAAGGCCTGCAGTAGACAGTCTGGACACATTCCAGAGGCAGAATATTGGTGCTGGCAGCAGCTTTGGGGCTCCCTGAGCTCACTCCCATGCAAGAGCTGAGCAGAATGGGATACTTTGGATATGCAGTCCCTATCCCCAGGCTGCAGACCCGTCCTGTCTGTGTCCTAGTAACTGGGCTGCACAGCAGGAGGTGAGCGGTGGGCCAGTGAGTGAAGCTTCATCTGTATTTACTGCCGTTCCCCATCACTCACACCACTGCCTGAGCTCTGCCTTCTGTCATATAAGCAGCAACATTAGGTCCTCCTAGGAGCCTGAGCCTTCCTGTAAACTGCGCATACAAAGGATCTGGGTTGCACACTCCTTGTGAGAATCCTGATGATCTGAGGTGGAGATGTCATGTACTTGAATCATCCTGAAATCCCCTCTTCCCCCAGTCTGTGAAAAAATTGTCTTCCAGGGGACAGCACCTGTGGCTTAGTGAGGAGAGCGCCGGCCCCAAATACTGAGGGTGGCAGGTTCAAACCCGACCCTGGCCAAACAGCAACAACAAAAGAAAATAGCCAGGCACTGTGGCAAGTGCTTGTAGTCCCAGCTACTCAGGAGGCTGAGGCAAGAGAATCGCCTAAGCCCAAGAGCTAGAGGTTGCTGTGAGCTGTGACACCACAGCACTCTATTGAGGGTGAGAAAGTCAGACTTTGTCTCAAAAAAAAATTGTCTTCCATGAAACTGGTTCCTGTTGCCAAAAAGTTGGGGACCAATGCTTCAGATAAGGTATGTGCTGTGGCTCTCATGATACCATCTGTGAGTGTATGTGAAGACTGGAGCCTTTTGAATGGAGCAGGCACTGTGTGGTTCATCACAGTCACAGTGCTCAAGCCCTCTGCATCTCTGAACAGTTTTTCAGAGCCTGGCCTGGGGCCCCTTCACCACTAAGCCTAGATAGGGAAGACCTGGGCATGATTGGTGAGGAGGCTTTAGGTGAGCCATGAAGGGGACCCCAGAGGGTCACAGTGTTCTCTCCAGGGCCTTTCTATTAAAGAAGGAAGGATTCCCCAGAGTCACCGGAGAGATGGAGTGACTGGCCCTTTGCCTTTCCTCCTTGAGAAGAGCAGGTAAGCCACTCTCCCCATCCTCCACGCTCCTCGGCAGAGTTGCTGCGTTTGCTCAGTGCAGCCTTTGTGGACAGCACAGTCAACAAGGGAAATCTGTTTGCTGAAGGAAGGTGCAGTGCCTTGGTGGAAGCCGAAAAGAATGGGCAGCTCAGTGAGGCTCCGGCGTGAGTGTAGATGAGGTCTGGCTCAGTGTCTGCCCCGGGTGCAGGATTTCTGCAAAGGTTGCCTTTTTCCCAGTGATGCTTCATGGCGCTCAGCTCCCTGCTGCTGCTTCTCTTTGGTAAGACAGGAAGAGTGAAGAAGGTGGACTCCAAAAATGGCAGACGTGTGCCTCATAAAGCACCCAGAAGGGAAACAGGGCCTGCGGAATGTTCAGGCAGCTTCCTCCTGTGTTCTTTACAGAAATAAAGCTCCTCCTGAATGTAGACTTTTCTCATTTTCCTTCCAGTATTTTTGTTTCACTGACAGTGAATTTCCAGCTCTGTGGTGATCTCACTTAAACTAATAAGTGAAGTTATTTTTAACCAACTGGATGCTGATGAAATAAGCCACTCCACTTGGGTTTTCTGGCTTTGCTTCCCTTGGCAGCTTGTCTGTGGGGTCTGCGGCTTGGGGTCTGGAGGCCTCGAGTCTCCTCTCACCCTCTCTCTGTCACAGGGCAGGGCTGCGCTCTGCGTGTGCTTCTGTTCCTCCCGCTCCAGGGCAGGGCTGGCCTCACTGCCCTCCCCACTAGCGGACTTCACTGCCTTCCTCTTCCCCTGCACACTTTACAATTGTCTTTGTTTCTCTTAAAAACAGAAGTGAAATTATTCACTTCATTTGTGTCAGCAAGAAAAGAGCTGGATGGATGCTCACCTGTCTTCAACAATGATTAGGAATTTTCAAGGTCTGCCTGGGGGAGGCCCCATGTCTCAGGAATGGCTTTGGGGAAATTCTCCAGCTGTAATCACGAGACTGGAACTGATTAATCATGTGCTTGGAATAGCTGATAAAGCACATTCAGTTCAGGGTCTCCGAAATA